TGTGCTAACACTGTGAGTGTTGCTTGTATAGTCATACCTCCATGGACCTGTGACACCTGAATAATGTGTTCACACGTTTGTGTGTGGGTGAGCGCTGATAGAAATGAAGGACATCCTGATGACTTGGACATCTGAGAGTGGAGGAGGCTTATGGAGATTTATCAGATATTGGTGTTTTTTTTGTTTGTTTTCTGTGTCTGTATGTATGAAGAATACCTCCACAGCTTGACCAGTTCTCTCTCCTGTGGACAAACACTGGTCGAGCACGTGCACCCTTCCTCCTCCCCTCCTTGTTTACTGTTAATGAGCATCCATCTGACTGCCAGGGCATTTACCAAGTTGTTGTCCAGCAAACACTACCTTCCTCCTTTTTTGTGTGGTTTTGGGGGTCCATCTCCTGTCCTTTGGTGTCAGTTATGGTGGAAATGCAAGGGACAAGCCTGGAGTACTGTCACAGTGTTATGGCTGTTAGGTGTCTCATACATTTCTTTTTTTATTTTGTCTCCAAAAAGATCAAAGAATGGCGAGCCTCCCTGTTATTTCCCGGCTGTTACGTTTGACTGTCTGCAGAATTGCCGCTACATGCCACAGGGAACTATTTTAATTTCTTTTTTTTTCATGTATAGTTTGACATTTTTCATACCAGGAATTAATAAGTGGTTGAAATGGAAATAAGCCTGTCAGAAGGCACATTAACAGTACTGCTATAGAAAAGCAGGTCTACTCAGTATTTCTCACATCGCATTGATGTGATTGGCTCTTAACAGAAATCTGTTGCCTATCAGGTACTAATAAATGACGTTAAGAGGTTGGAGTGCATAGGTTTGGCAAGATTTAAGGAAAGGTTCGGCAATTTGGGACACACATACAATTGTTCCAGAAGGTGACTGCACCCAGAAAAGAAGTTGTCCAGCCTGTAACACCCCATAAAACAACTGCATGTCACATACAAAGGGTTATATAGTAAGGTTTATAGTGGCTGCTGAGTGGATTTTGTCACCTTTGCTTAGAGCCAGGCTGGCTTCCCCTCCACTTTTCCAGTCTTACTTGTAAGCTGGAAATTGCTGGTTGTCGCTTCACATTTATATACACAGGTGTGTCATTCATCTCATGTGACTTCCAGCAACAACAACGACAAAAAAAAAAAGAAGCAAATATGCACATTTAGCAGATGTCAAATTGTACATTTTAAGCCTGTAGTGCAGCTGTTGAGAAGGTTGTGAATAATTGTAGTTTCTTCTGGTGAATTGTGGAGATTGATGCTCTGGTTGGATTCAGAGGCTCTAAAGGAATAAGGAGACAAAATAGCTGCTCGTTTCCCCCTAACCCATAAGATGTTATGTTCATTTTATTCTGAATTACCGTGCTTCATTAGAAGTGTACTGAGAATTTGTAGTCTTACAGCACAAGTTGATTTCGATGTCTTGTTACCGTAGCACTCATCACCAGGGTTAGTCAGCCTCCGCACATTTTTTTTTGTAGCGTGTTTTTGTTGTTGTTTTATTTCTCGTCATGATTGTAATGTGTTTGTTTTAGAATGGGCCATGGGTTGTTTCAGAACCACGCATGTTATTGGTAAAGGCTAACAGTGCGATTGGATCAGGTTGCCGTGAAGGGAGATCATGTCTACTAGCTCTGGTTTAACCTCCGTGGCCCTAAATGTACAGGAGCTCTTTTATGGGTGGCAGCACGCTTCATGTGTGACACAAGCCATATTTGAGCCTCTCACTGTTGGTGTGGTGCAGGTTCCACCACACACACAGACACATACACACACCTTTGCACATCATCACACACATACACACACCCGCACACACACACATACTGTCTCATACAGTATATTTACACATTTATATATATCAGATCAAGCATGACGAAAGCAGGTCTTAAGTTCAGCACTATTGTACAAAGTATCCAAAGTGTAATAAGGGTATAAAATGTAAGTTTCTGTGTCTTCTTCATTACTATAGAGTGTGTTCTAAAGGCCAGCATCAAAGATACAAGAGTCCTGTTTGGACTAACAGGCCCTGAAAAAAAGCATGAGAAGGTGCCTACTGCACAGCAGACCCGCCGGTGTCAGTGATAGCAGCTGCGTTTTGTCAAAGGGAACATTTACTGAACTAGCACTGATCTGATTACTTCATTTTGGGAGTACCAGTGGGGCTTGGTAAGCAGCGGAGCAGAATTACTGAACACCACTCAACTTCCTGTTAATCGTTTTTAATCTGGGGAATATTCCCGGTTTCATCTTGTGTGTTTTTTTTTTAAATTTTCTGTCTGATATTTGAATAACGGAAAACTGCTACCTTCTCGAACCAGGGATCTGAACTGTCGGATGAATTTGAGAGTTATTTATTTCCTCTCTCGCTCTAGAAGTAAACAGTGTTTTTCGTTGACAGGTCGAGTTATCAGGGAATCCTCTGTATCCACATCTCACTCATGGGGTCAAAGAAACTGTGTGGAAACCTACCGTTTTATTGATGCACCACTATAGTTGATGTACATTGTATCCTCTGGCCTTGAATGTTTATTGATGTGGTGGGGGTTCGTGGGTGGGGCGGGGGTAACAGTGGGGAAAAAACCGAAACTGTATGCATGTCTGTTGTGTTTTGCGGAGCAAATGAGGGGGTGGTTCATTATCTATCGTGTAGTCTGCGGGAGGGTAAAGCTGAACTCATGGCATTGAAACATTGAAGCGCTTTTTAAAAATGAAAAAAAAAAATGGGACATTTGAATTTTTTTATCGCTGATACTAACTGATGTGTTGTTGAGTTTTGTGCTAGAGTGGGGCAGTGGCAGGCGGGCGGGCGGGTGGGTGGGGCTAGATAATATTAGTGGACTGTTTATATGGTTACTGTACTTACCTATTCTATTCTTTGTATTATGATTTGTAATTTTATGTTGCTTTTTTTGAACTGAGAATATGATGTAATGAAATTAATTCATGGGACTGAATCTTGACCTTTTTATGGACAAAATAAAATCACTTATTTACAAAAAGATACAATTGGTATGGTTGATTTTAGACAGTCGTTGCATTTTTCCAAAGTCAATAAGTTATAGGTTGGAGTACAACACCTGAGAGGCAGCGTTTGAAAAATTACAGTACATATTGACATAAGGATTTGAAAGACATGTAGAGCTTTAAATAAAAATAGCATGTAATAATTTAAATTGCATTTACACTTTATCTAAAACTTATGTACCTAAATATAGTTTGACACATAAGGTACCGTGCAAGAGTCTCGAGCTGTCCCACAGTTCTTTATATTTTGCTTCCAAGCAGCCAGACTCTCATTTAACCTTTTCTTGAGAAATAATTCTCCAGGCTTTCTCAAAGTCTTTGGACGTTTTCAGTCTGGCCCTTGTCCCTGACCATTTTCAATTTGTTCCCATTTCCTTATCTCTAAGAAAATGCCAACAATAACACAGTTTAACTAGCATAAAATAGTTTTTTGGGGGGTACAAGGGGATTCTCAAAGAACTATTAGCCAAAAATCACAGCATATCTCTGCATGGTGTGCAGTGTGCTTTTAAAGATTTGTAGGAAACTGACAAGTGTCAGGCCTAAAAAAAACTATTGATGAACAGTTTATGAAACTCTGCCCTTAATAAACAGCAGAGAGCTGACACAGGACCTGATCAGAAATGGTCTCAGTGGAAGGATGGCTGTCAAGAAGCTGTTCTTAATGAAGAGAAATGGAGAAAAGGCTGAGTTATGGCAAATTACATGCAGAAAAATGCTTTTTAGAAAATGTCTGATTGCTACAGCATCGTTTTGCAGCCCAACAATGATCCCAAACGCACTACCATTGCAGGAAAAGCAAACCTGTACAGAAAAACAAACAATGAAACACTATCAGTCATGGATTGGCCTCAACATTATTGAAGCAGTGCAGGAACATCTTGACAGAACAAAACAAAAGGCAGCCAATATCCAAAGAAGAGCTTTGAATGTCCTTCAAGAAGCCTGGAGAGCTATTCCTGAAGACTACTTAAATTAATTACAAGAAAGCTGCCTGTGTTGAAGAATAAAGGTGATCATAACAAATATCGATTTTAACCCTTGTTAGAATTCTGTCGTTGCCTTTCCATTTATATTTGCAAATTTAAATAAATTGCATAAACTTTCCATTTTCCTGCCAAAATAGAACGAAACAAAAGGTGGTTGGAGACTTTTGCACAGTACTGTCTACTACATACAATTTATGAAGGGTTGGGCATGAGTCATGGAGCAGTCACTGGCCAAAATGTGCACAAGCCCTGTATGAAATAAGTTCAGCAACATTTAATGATGGGACTAATGAACCACTCACTGTGTTTAAATATCAGAGCCTCAAGTCGGTGTGAAAGTGCAGTGAGTGCAACTGAAACAAATCTCGTCATCTCTCGTCTGCGTTTAATGGAAGCGACTGCCCCCTGCTGGCTAATTGTTGTCATTACCAGCCTTCTTCTAAAGCATGCCTACGGATTCCAGCAGTTCATGAGCGCAATATGGGGCCCTAAATTAATTCTTTAACATCAATTTAAATCAAGTAACAAATTGCTTCATTTATACTCTTCTTCATCTTCAGTTTGTTGTCAATGTTGCAGATTGTGTTGATTCCAGGAAAAAAAAAGAAGAAAAAGGACAGCCAACTACTGCTAGCTGAGCTCAGCCGTTTATCAGCCAGCAAATAAATATGGCTTCAGCAGACTGCCTCCATATGGCTCCATGCAGGAGAGCCTCCCCTCACTTTCTGATCAGTCAGCAGAGAATCAATGTGCTCCTAACAGAAAATATTGTCCTCCATCAGTCATCCATGTAGTTCACCACATGTGGCCTCGATTCAGACGCACCAACAGCATCTTCGCGCTGACCTCCGCCCTATGTAGAACATCGTGCTACCACAGGAGCTCCATGTCTACTCAGTTTGTGTGCAATACTGAACATTTCTTTGGACAAACAACAGTAGAACAATGGTACAGTATGTACAAAAAGGATCATAGCAGTCAAAGATCTCAGCCAACAGCTATGTTTCCTGGTACCTGGTTAAAATAAAACAAGGAGCAAGCATGAGACAGAGAGCAGTGGTGGGGCATGTACTAATCTTTTAACAAAGTAAAGTGGCAATCTTACTATATGAAAATGCAAATGAAACTCCCATGTGCTCGAAATGGTATGTAATAAAAAATACTGAAAATGTAAAAACAAAGTATTTAACTGCTTCAGGTTGACTCTAATTATAGATGCAAGCCGGTTAAAGTGGAGGTAATTTGAACTTAAAATGCGAGGTAGCTCAGCATCTAATTATGCCTCGTACAACGTAATGACATGTTTTCCATGCACAAATCGACATCTAAACACAGCCTCACAAAATCAGAGCAAAAATAAAAAAGCTGAATATTTTCCTCTAAAATTTTAGAGGACATGTATCGATACATTTTGAGTATTTTGCCCATGTAACTTATTACATCCATTCCCATTACTAAAACAATTTAACTACAATGAGATTCAGGCGTATTTTCCAGCCTGTTGCAAAGCATCATTTCACTGCCTACAGTTTAAAAGGCGTAATCCTGAGTGGGTGTGATTTTCCTTGGAAGTCTATTCTTTTCCTTGTGTTATTGTTAAGAACCAGTAAAACTGCTCTGCTCATGTCTGATCAGTAAAAGTCTCCAAAACCGGTTTGAGACATCTCACTTTTTTCCCCCCCGTTCCTCAACAGATTTCTTTTTGTGGCTTTCCCTTTGCGTGCGCGTGCATGTGTCTACTCACTCTCTGTGATGTGAAGACCAGTCAGTCAAAGCTCCCAAAGAGTTCAGCTGCTCCTGCAGCGCTAAAATCCTTAGCCCGATGTATCCGGACACCAACAGGAGCAACACCAGCCTACAAACACCCACAGTAAAGTCTTGAATGTGTGTTGTGCAGGAAGAACCACAGCCTGAGAGTCTAGGATGAGTACATGTTGTACAGGACTAACAGCAGGATATCAGAGACTTGGATCTGTGTGCAGCCTTGATAACATATCCACAACCAAGGTTTAGTTATTTGTCTTTCCTGGAGAGTTTGTAGCCATTCCAGTAAATCAGCATGAGAAAAAAAGCATGCCAAGATCCAGTAGATGTGTGAGTGCTTTTGCAGTTTTATACCTCAAAAACATGGATTTTGGTCTGCTGAAAAATTCTACATAAAGCAAAAGCTCATGGTCCTTTTTTCCCTTCAAACCTTCAGTGTTTTAGGATGTACAGTCAGTTTCAGTCAAACTCACGGCTGTGGCTAGAATCGTGTTGTCATGGACCCTGGGTTTTGCATTTTTATGTGATTTCTTCTGATTTTGAGAAGTGATTCATATTTAATTATTTATAGTTTCCTGCTTTTACCCACTGAAAGTTGATTCTGTTCATCTGGACGTAACCTTTTCAGTGGGAGAAACGTTTCGTCACTCATCCAAGTGACGTCTTCAGTCTCCGCTGAGTGCAGGTTTCCCCAACCACTGATCAAAGACCTTGAGCAGTGGTTGCTGATCAGTGGTCATTGTGCAAATGTACTGTTTATAAGATTGGGGAAACCTGCAGTCAGTTGAGAGTAAAGAAGTCACTTGGATGAGCAGTGAAATGTTTCTCCCACCAAAAAAGTTACGTCCAGATGAACAGAATCAACTTTTTTGGATTTCCTTACCTGGATGATTGAGCATGCGTCAAGAAATCTTTTCCCTTTAGTTCCTAGTTGACCTAGATGACCTAGATGACCTCGGATTAATTAGTTCCCTTTTTGTGTTCCCATCCTGTTCCTTCAGTCTTGTCTGTATGTTTGTCTTTTTGTTTCACTTTAATCTGATCTCCCCGTACAGTTGTGTCTCTTGTTTCCTGTTGTATTTTGCTTATCTTATTTCTCTGTGTCATGTTTCACGTTTTACTTCCTTTGTCTTGTTTTCTTGATTAGTTTCAGCTACCCTCCCACCTGTTTCCGCTCCCCTTATTATTATAGTTAACTAAATATAGAGGAAATATCCTGGGTTTTATTATCTGTTAGTTCGGTAAAAACTTTAACACGGCTTTCCTGATGAGACGTTGATTGATGCCTTTATTGAGACAAGACTGTGAGGGAACTGTTTTCAAAACGTTCCGTGTCTTTATTGTAATACCTGCACTGATTTTCCTAAATCTCACCTCTGACATATGTCACTCATACAAGATAAAACTAAGACTGAAATGGATAAAAACTACACTAAAGGTAAACATTAAAAAAGAATAAAAAAAATAACTGAAAGGTGAAAATCTACGCTGGAAACTAAACTGAAATCAAAACAAAAAGTCAAAACCAAAGAAAAATAAAAGCTAATTAGAAAATGTGAAACTATAATAAGTCCCTGGATGTTGTGTTTCCTTACCCTGTGTTGTCCCTAAAGATCTTTTTGCACTCTTGTGTATTACCAGCGATAAAGCTGATTTTTGAATTTATTCCTGTTTCCCTGAGTCCTGCATTCTGGTCCACAATCTGCCTTCCACATAGTTGGTCTATTACACAGAAGCTGGGTGAAGGCGCCGTGTTTAAATTTCTAATCTCCTTCCACATCGTTACTGTTGAGATGACCCTAATGGTACATCACTTTTTCTTCCTTCTACAAAGAAACTGCTCACTACAGATTTCAAGCAGTATTTATCTATGAATCTGAAAACTATACTCACAACACCATGTAGATGTGGAAGACAACACTGAGAGTCTTAATTTCTGGCAGTTGTGCAATGAACCTCCAAATCCACAGTCCAGCTGACATAGACCAAAAAAAAAAAAATTAATTAATACTTGTTCTATAATCACACGACTCTGTATGGCCGCAACATGTGTGTGTTTGTATTTGAATACACACCTCTGTCTTCTTCATCTATTACGCTGTTTTGACGAGTGGAGTTGTCTGTGCTGGGGCCTGAAAAGACATTAAGACAAGTAAGCTCAGCAATTAAACCCCTTAATGTAATTATTTCAAATAGAAAAGTGAACTTTAACAGTTAAAGTCAAAATCATTAAGCGGTGATGATCACCCATCAGTGCTCTTTAGTGTCTTTCCTTTACCTTCACTGGACGTCTGAAGAAAGCTGGTATCAAGAGAGTCACTGCTTGGAAAATCTACACGGTCGTCCAAACTGGAAAAACTGGAGAATTGCTGACAAAGAGAGAGATGCCATAAGATAATTTATCACTACGCAGTATGGCGAGATAGTCGTTAAGCTGCTACAAGATTCCTGCAGCTGCTGAGCGTCAGACCTACCGGATTGTGAGCTTCGTTCTCTGCAACGGCCAGATGAAGGCTGCTGTTTACAGCCTCCGCCTGTTCGAAACAAATGAAAAACAAGTTGAGAAAAAAACAACAGCTCGTGTTAGTCTGAGAAATGATGCCTGCACCAGCATGTGTGTCCGGGGAGCGGCAGCAGTACCTGCGCATATGAGCACACACTTTGGAGGATTTTGTAACACTTCTCACGGTTCCTCAAAGACACAAACGAGTACTGAGGGAGAGAAAACAAACAAGCAGAGGAAAGGTTTAAATCTGGAACTCCTTAAACTCAGTGTTTCCCCAGAAAGTTAATCTGCAATGTCAGCTCGACAAGCTGTCAGGCTCACTGCAGGAGGCCCAATCACAGTTAACACACTGTCCATCATTTCCTTTTACCAGCTGCTAAACCAACTGGTACATTTGTATCAAGTCAAGAATGAACACTTATTTTTGGAGATCTCGTCATTTGTAAATAAATGAATGCTACCAGATTGTTTATAGTCGATGCTGCATTGTGCTGCTGGTTTCTAAATGAATATTGCGCGTACACAGTCGACAAAGTAAAACACATATTAAGCGACACATAATACACATTATAAAAGGTAAAAACTACACAACAAGCAGTCTGAGAAAACAAATGTCCACCAAGGCAGCTCACTCACTGAGCAGCGTTTACTTTTAAGGGAATAATATAGATTTTTCTGTACATTCATCTTGTTTTCTTTGTTCTTTTTAAACATACTTTAAGAATTTTGTAGTGCAGACTTCTGTTAATTGGCCTGTTGCAACCTATTTTAATTATTTTCATTGTTTTTTTAAATTTATTTGGAAATACTACATGTGTAATATTTGTTTTATTGTTTAGTAAAATTCATTTACCCATTAATTACCAAATATAAAGTGAAAAAAGTTTTGTATTTAAACGGTTATAACCTGTTATTCTAATGTACGTAAGAAAGTCATAATAAAATTATGTCCTTGGTGGATGTAAGCCAAATTTTAAATGACTGTTAGCATGACCTCAGTCTACACCTCTACAGAGTTTGATCAGAATTCATTCAGAATTTTTTTGAGCTGTCGTGTTTACAGACAGAATGACATGCACGCATGCAAAATGCTAACACAAGCATAACCTGTATGGTGGAGGTAACCAAAACCTCCCGATCATCCATGCTTACATGAATCAACTTAGCTGAACTCAAAAGTATCCAGTTAAAAAATTATGTTTTCAGTTTTTTGAGGCCCTGCGATAAACTGGCGACCTGCTTGAGGTATACCCCGCCTCTCGCCCTGTGGTAGCTGGGATAGGCTCCTGCACCCCCCTGCGACCCTGATAAGGATAAGTGGAAGAAAAGGGGTGGATGGAGTTCTTCGAGTTGTAGGTAAGAAGTTCAACAATAAAAAAAAGGTTTCTGCTTTCACAACTATAATTCCCTTTAGATGTAAACTTCGTCATTGAGGCCAGAAACCCTGAGAGGGTTCCCCGTGATACTGAGCACCAAAGCAGCCAGCTTATTAGAGAGCAACTTAAGTTTCTGATAGCTTTTGATTTAAATACTTAACCGCAGAACTACACTTTACATCTGTGATGCAAAGATTCAACTGCTACTTTTAAAGGTGTGTGCTGACCTTCTCTTCAGCTGTTTGTATAGAAAGCATCGACAGGGCTGAGCCATGTTTCTTCACATCCTTTATGCTGGAAACAGGAATCACCACCTGCAATGTATGAATGGTAATGAGTGTGGTTTTCTTTAGAAACCTACAGAGCTCATTAAAGTAAAATGACATGCCAAACATTCACAAAGTGAAACAAGCAGAAACAAACCCCAGAGCAAGTTGATGTGTCATTCTCTCTTCAGGTATGATAAATGCTAAAAATCCAAGTGAAATACCAGGATTTGGACTAGTAATGCTGACTGCTCCTCTGTATCTTTATCTAGAAAATCCAAATGATCTCCCTTTGATTGTAATTTTGCAGCTGGGAAAGTCCAAGTACTGCAGCTCCTGCCATCACATTTCAGTGTGTGGCGTAAGCTTGGGTTACCTTAGTGTCTTTGAGCAGCACAGATGAGTAGAAACACACATGGTTCTGAGAAACAAAGAGTTTTCCGTGATACAGCACTTCCTTCTGCAGGGAACACGTGAAAGCTGCAACAGATACACACAGTTTGAAGGCATTAGGTCACTGTTTCTAAGGTGATACCCACACAACACCAGAGCCATGACTGCTGAAACATTTACTGAAGCATTTCAGCCGTGCAGTCACCCCAGACCGCTTGGAAAACAAAGCATTAAGTGGCACTTCATCTGGCAGCAAAGACGTCGGGGACACTCTGCGATGCCATTTCCATAATCAATATTCGCAAATGAGTTACAACCTCTGGACCTCAGCTCAGCTCACCGTGTGCCAGGCTGTCCCACACAGGAATCTCTGGAAACAGCTTGTTGAAGCTTTTATTGTACTTGAAGTACTGCAGGGAATAAAGAAACAAAAGGTTTTCCATTCAGACTTGTTTCAGATACAGAAGAAGAAGAATCAGGTTTGTTAACTGACTTGAGACCTGCACTCAGCATCAGTATACTAACTTTTGAGCTGCCAAGCTTGTCATCAAACATTTACTTATTTAAACCCTCCAGCAGTTAGAATTTGCTTAGTCTCTGGATACCTGGTAAATGGTCAATAATCAGCCTGCATTGAACTCGTGGCTCTAAATTGTCGACTTCCTCATTCATGTAGTTGATAACCATGTGTATCTGATGTGACATTGTAAAGCTTTCCCACCTGGGATGTCCGAAAATGCTACGAGAAACTAGCTTGAAACCCAGCTCTGAAGCAAGAAGATAAATAACAACCTAAAGGTAACCACAAAGCCCCTTAAATCCAAGTAGAGCGTCATATTCAGGAAGGTTTCTTGGATTCACTTTGTCACATTGCTTTCATGTTGGAGCATAATGCATTGCCACTGTAAAAACATGATTCATGGCCGCCTCAGTTCCTGTGCTGTGAATAAAAGGGAACAAGAAGGAGCAGGGTAAAGGGAAGCGGGCTTACGTGATCATCTGATCGCTGAAGATTCTCTGCTATGGTCTGCTCTCTGATGACACAAAGGCACAATAGTAACACAAATGAGATAAGGATGTTTTCAGGGAGATATCTGACAGTCTGTGCAGCTTTAACATTTTAAACCATCCAATACTTAGTAAATACTTAGTGATGAAGGAAGACTCTACCTCAGGGCCATGTTGGAGTCAAGGCTGTGATTTAGTTGGCCCCCCAGTTGTACTGCGTCCAGCATCGTGCTCTGTTTATCTTTCTTTGTACTAGATGTAAAACTGCTTCTTCTCGTGCCAAAAATAACACCTCCTTCCACGATACTGTCCCAAGAGACCGGGATATAAATGTCAGACTGATGATCCAGCTTTTATATCACCCACAGACACAGAACACCAAAAAGGTAATGAAATCACAGCAAAATAGAAATGAATGCATTTCTCCCTGATGGATGGATGCCAGCTCCTGCATGCTGATGGGGAAAATGTTACAATCTTCAGCTATTTTGTTTGCATCAGTCACAGAATGACTTTTCACAGAGATGAATGGAGCTCATCAACAGGTACAAGAAAGATCTGTTTGCCATCAAAGCACTCTTGAACATTAACAAGGTACAAGAAAATAATATGCTGTTCCTACACTGTCTTCCAAGTCCTTGAGCAGCCTTTTAAGCACCAGCTGTGCCAACTTTCTGACTGTCTGCCTCTCAGACCGGTGGTTAGTCTGCTGTCTCCGGGCAACTGACTTGGCTCTCCGGAGGATGGTTTCAATTTTGCAAAAGCAGCCGCCACAAAGCCCGAGCACAATGAAAAACTGTACTCTACAGCTGGTAATTAGAGTAGCTTTTTGTTTTTACACTGTACGCTTAAAAAGTCAATATCACTGTCAACAAATAAAACATGTACATTAGGCACAAAGGAGGAAATGTGATAAGATAAATACTCACCCAGAGCTGTCCAGTGAGAATTTCCTGTTTCTCAGAGTCATGATGGAACATAAACAATTCCGGCTTGCGCACACACAAAGTCATACACTCGAATACATAGTGTAACTGTATAACTTTATGTCTGTAATCCACGTTTACCAGCTCTGTGCAGGGCTTTGCTTCTCTTGTATTTCCTGGAAATGACTCTAAATCACCAAGGGCCAGGTGAACACAGGTGAGAAAAAAAAACGAAGGACAAAGACAGCCTCCTGACGGCTGCCTTTTAATGTTAACCAATTAGCTGTGAGAGGTGGAGCTTTGCATAACAAAACCAATCAGTGAAGGAAGGAGGAAAATCTACACTGATGCAGAGTTTGCTCCTCATAGGAAGATCTTTCTATGGGTGGCACTGTCTACGTTCACCCTTTGACTTAGAGACACACCTTCTAGACCCACACGCATCAGCACACACAATGAGAAGGTATGCAGAGACAACCGTCATGAGATTTAGATATGACAGTAACATTGTTGTCTGTCATCCAAAACCTTCAGCCTGCATAGATTAATATCACATGGAAAGAATGACTGACACACA